GTATTCATCATGATCTCTTTCTGTGTTCCACCATCTCACCATTTTGTTGATCTCCTGGATAGCCAAGCCCACCCTAGTGGCCTGCAGACCGGTGGTAAGGTAGGACTTCATCAGTGCGCGGTAGTCCACTCCCTGGTTGAAGTCGTAGCCCTGGATCTTTGGTGTATCCTCTGGCACTGGCTCCATTTCTCTATAGGTATTTTCAGGTAATGGGTGGGCATGGTGTGCCATATTGTCTGAAAGAACAATAACAAACATTCCTAAATAAGTTCTGGAATTGGGAAGTGTAAATATCTATACAACTTGAATGTAAAAGAGCTATTTTCCTCAAGATCAAACATATGCAGGTTTGTTAACTTTGGTACGTTGTTGTGGTTCTCTTGAATTGTGTATTTGATGCAGATCCACATCAACCGTTTGCATGTATTAAGGGTTCAGAGTGGCCTAAAATGTGAGATAACCAATTAGACCAAAGTTGAGATAACAAAGTAGCCTAGTGTGTAGCCCTTTTTGGTTCCATTCGAACTCTAGCATTTCAGGATTTACTACAAAAAGCCCTTCGTTCAAACTTGTACTAATGGTCGGATCAAGTCTGAAATTTGACTTGCATCAGAGCAAATATGACAATGTTATTAGCACAGGTTTTACTGTTAAGTAGTTTAATTATCTAAAGAACTAGGGGTATTTTCTTGGACTATAAAGAAACTGTTTATCAGATTAAAAATAACAACAACTTTAGAGATGCAATGTTTTGGGCAGGAAAACAATCTGAAAGGTAACTAAGGTTGTTAGACACATTTTGAACAGTAAACAGGTGTAGCATTCACGTGTTATGTGTAGTAGAGTATAATTATATAGCTGCACTTATATTTCTCTAAACTAACTAGTAAATCCAGCTACATTAGTTCTCACCAAGCATTCAGTATGTGAGGCGGAAGTCTTTCACTGTTTTCTTTGTATGTTTTAATTCTATATCCTCCCAGGTATTATTTAAAAATAGATGGAGTCCAGCAAGCACAACACCTCAACAAAAAAGGCACCCCGATTTCGAAAAACCTTACCTCTCCTGTTGGCTGACAGATGGTCTCTGAAGGATGCTGGCCTGGCTTTAAGATGTTACTCACACCTCTAACCAAAGGACTCAAAGAGAAACCTGTTGAGCCGGACCTTTATTTAAGGATGAGGGGAAAGTAGTGTGAACAGGTGGGGAGTCCTAAACTGCCAAGAGAAGAAGAGCAAAGTATCTGTGTGCTTTTAAAAACAGGTTTCTCTACATCTGGGAGCGTGATCAATACCCAGAATAATAGACAAATAATTAAATATATTATGAATTGCAAGGTGCTTTTGAAAGGGCGCCTCTAAATAAAATGTATTATTATTATTATTATATTATTATTATTATGATAAACTTCAAGTATGGCAATACTGGTTATTTAGTTTCTATTGATAATGCATGAAACTAAAGCTGTGTATCTCAAGATTTAGGAGTAACTAATAATCCAGTAATACAATATGTATGATTCTAAAATGGCACAATTAATGCTTTACTTGTTGTACTTTAAGTATATTTCAATGACATTACTTTTGTACTTTTCTTTAGGTAAGGTTTTTTGTGCAGGAATTTTACACGTAAAAGAGTATTTTTACACTGTCTAACCATTCTTCTTCGATTATTATTATTTTTAACAAGATTCAAAGGTTTTATTGTCAAAACCAAAATGTACTTTCCATTAAAGGCAGCTCATTGTGGAATAGCTTCCCAACTGAGATACGGGATTGTCCCACTCTCAACAGTTTTAAAGGTCCACTCAAAGAATGGTTGAGAAACAAACAGACGTGCAATCACCGCTAAATGCACTTTCATACAGGGGTATCTCCTCTTGCACTTCATATGTCGTTGCTGCTACATTGTACTGCCATGTGGTAAATATTTGTGTATGCTGCTCTTTTGCACATTTTGCATATCATGTATTTGTTTTTGCTATGTGTATAATCGTCATGTTCTTAAATGTTTGATGTGAGGGATTGCGGATGGAAATTAGCTCCAAGCTAAAATCCGGCATATTTACACTATTTGCATTGTTTTGTTTTAAGTGTTCATTAATGTGCATTGTCCCTGCTAAATAAACGATTAAATGAAAAATATGTGCAGTATACAGATAGAAATAGCAATGAAAATCTTAAATTCCCCCAACATTGCAACATAGTTATATAAGACTTTAAACAATAAAATAAAAATAGTGCAAGAAGAAACAGGGTAGAATATATTAGAATACAATAATGCATATTGTGTTGCAAGACCATGCAATGTGCAAGTGATGAAAATTAAGTAAACTATATAAATGTCAGAAAAATAAATAAATACAATAAGCTAAATAATGGAGAGGATGATGTAAGCAACCAAGTAAATGCTGGAGTCTATATACATGAAAATAAAATAAGATATACAGAATTAAAATGTGTACAGTAAAATGAAATGTATTATTTTTTTAGAGGAATTTTTAGAGGAATTTATTTTGTTTATTGTAGTGGCTTAACAGAGCTCAGGCATTACGCTGTGTTATGGCCTGTGGGATAAAACTGTCAAAACAAAACCACAATGTTAAATGTAAACTCAGGGCATCACTTCTCCACACAGAATTGGGACAGACCATGCAAGTCCTTAAAATATTATTTTCAATTATTAAAAGATTGCAACTTGCTGTCAAGGGAATGTTATGAGCCTGGCTTTGACTTTTGCCGTCTGTGTACCTTTGTTTCCATTGTTTGTCTTTCTTAACCCAGTAAACAGAAAGGCGACTGAATCTGTGTACCTTCCTTTAGATTGTTTGTTAAACCAGTAAACAGTTTCTTGCTGAAAGACAGAACCACATTCTTCATCTATAAGAAAGAGGTTCCCTTTCATAATATATTCTCCCATTATTTTTATTTTAAATATGGATGACATTCATTCAGATAGAGTTGGGAAGTTTTTCTGTCAGCAAGAAAGTGAGTTTACCAACAACTAGTGAACAGTCTATAGCCTGCTGACAATGCCCATTATAAGGGGATACTCATCATACCCAAAAGATAGAATAAAAACAATATAGCAAATATATGGCTCAATCCAGAACTGGAGGACATTAAGATGACATTTGTGAATATCAACCCTTTATTTTCTAGTTTTCTGTTATGTATTTGAGAAAAACACGTAGTAAACAATCAACAAAAAATGATAAGGCCAGCTCAGGCATCAATGGTACATATTTTATTAGTTGTCTCATTTTATGCTTTTCAGCAGCACTCAGTGGTGCGCTACAACTCTGAAATCAATAGAAATCAATTAAAAAAATATCAGATCTAACTATAATTTAAACAGTTGTTTTAAAGTGTTGATTGTCCAACCTTAACAAGCTTAGGCTACCCTTAATGTTGTCTCCCCATACTTCTTGTTTTTCCTGTGTTCATTTCCTGATTCTAATACGACATGCTCCCTTCTCAGTCTTAGGACATAAGAAGGTTTAACCACTATCTCCATGCACATTTCTTGTCTCAAGTTTACTTCAACACCCTTAATCTGTTTATCCTGTCCCTCCAGCTTAACCACACCCGCTGGAGACCTTTTACTCCACCATAGTCTGTTTTAAGTTCAATAAACGTGTGTGACGGGGGAGAGGAAACAGTGTTGCCTGTGGTTAGGGTTTAGTTTTCTGAAGTAAACTATAATTGCAACCCGTGTTTGAGCTAGTCACATTTTAAAACCACCAATGTGATAAAACACAAGCTCATTATTAGCTGAGAAAAGGAAGAAAGGAAGGAAGTTAGTTTGAAACTTTAAAGGGGACCTATCATGCAAAATACACTTGTTCATGTTTTTTTATACATGAACATGTGTCCCCTCTGTGGAACGAGATTCTGAAAGTTTCAGGAAAAAACTGTCTGAAAATGAGCTGATCAGATTTTGGCTACTTTATGATGTCATGACTTTGGCTTTTTTTTGGCTTGTGTAACCAGTAGCCAATAACCAACCAAGGTAATGAACATTTATGGACAAATAGCAGATGTTGGACTAATTAGGAAAGCTGTAACATTTGTGTTTAAATGTCTGTCACATTTTTTCTTTACACCACATCTGATATTAAACTTAGTTTGAGCTCATGGCAAAAAAATGTTTTTGAGTGATACAGATACTGTACACTTACTTTCAGAGCTGGGAAATATCTAAGTACATTTACTCAAGTACTGTACTGAAGTAGAATTTTGAGATACTTGTACTTTACTTGAGTATTTCAATTTTATGCTACTTTTTTATTTTACTCCACTACTATTTAGGAGTAAATCGTGTACTTTTACTCCACTACATTTAATACCTTTAGTTACTTTGCAGATTTGGATTAATCATGTGAAATATAATCAACTCTTAAATCAGACTTTAGTTCCAACTGGAGTAAATCCACAAGCTACCCTGCAGTATGCAAAGTCATTAAAACTAGCTCCACCTTTGATAACACTTTAATGATCAATAATTATAATCTAAACGTATAATGTATATTATTCTGAAATGGATCAATCTGCATAATGATAACTTTTACTTGAGTAACATTTGGAATGCAGGACTTTTACTTGTAACAGAGTACTCCTAAACTCTGGTACTTTAATCAAGTGCAAGATCAGAGTACTTCTCCAACCTCTGCTTGCTTTTAAGTCTATCTTTTAGACATGTCTTTAACTTCTTCAACATTTGGATCTAAAATAATCCCAGGGAACACTTCCAAGATAAATTCGATATTTCAGTTGGATGCACTGTGTACAAAAAAATAAAGAGTAAATACTTTTTATTAATTAGGTTTTTTTTTTTAATTAGGTTTTTGTATACTGGAATTTCATCTTAGTTCATTTGGAAAAAAAGTGAAACTCCTCCCAGCTGAACAGGAACCAAGAGCCATCTGCGTGGTAGTTTCCAGTCAGGCCCAAACAGATTCAGTTGATAAAACGGAACACAAAACTTCAGACGACTCAAATCTTAATAGAAAACCATTTATTTTCCCCTATTCACAGAAAATTAAATAAAAAGATACGTTGGATAACATCCCATCTGCACCACAGTTGAGCAAAAAATAAGGTACTGCATTGAATTAAATTGCCAGCCTTGATATCAGATTGAAAAAAAGTTATGAATTAGTTTTTCCACATTCTTCCCTAAGGTATGCACCAAGCATAGCAAGCACCGACCCTCCTTCAGTCCAACCACAACATCAGATTTGACATAATCAAATGGTCCGCTATAAAACACTGAAAAAAAATTATTCGTTAAATAAAAAAAAAACTTTTAAAGTCAAAAATAAATGTGTGCACTGGGACACAAAAAACATATCAGAAACAAAATAAAAATAAAACTGTCACATGTGCATCAAAATAAAAATTTAAAACACAACCAGTGGACATCTAGCATTTGAATTGACTTGAATCCATACCACCTAACCACGCCCACGTACGGCTGCATCTCTGCACCTAGAAGAACATTGATTTAACACAGGTTAAATCACATATAGTGGACTTGATTATTGAGCCCATGTGTTCTCGTTCCACGATAGGTGGAATGTATTTCAACTTTTAGAATTGTCTGTCATGAGGAGAAGGACATTTTCCATATACTAAAAACAATGAATGGCAAAGCGAAAAAACATTGGCAGTGTGGTTTGCACAGACTTAAATGGCAAACACTCAACTGTGCCACTTAGCTAAACATCATTTGGCATATCTGGATCAGAAATTAAAACAAAATGCATCATCTTTTTTCAATAAAGGGTTTTTCATCATATCCAGACACTGGGCTTTATATTCAAATAAGCAGACAAAAAGGGTTTATTATTTAACAATAAGCACTTACCCATTTGCATGGCGATCTCTCCAATGGCCCAGGTGGCGTTGTTACACACCGAGATAAACTCTGGGTTCAGGTTGAGTCCCAGGATGGGCATGAACTCAGCTGGAGGGAGGACACGAACACACAGGTTACAATACGAACAGAAAGACATCCAGTCACTTTTACACTACACAAGTTCTGCCTTTACAACTTCATGTATGATTTACAAACTGCTCTCCCTCCTTGAAACAGCAAGCTCTACACACACTTCTCAGACTCAAAAGTCATCCGCACGTTTTAATCAGATTTTGAATGTCTTTAAGGTGATCATCATTCACTAAATTGGGGAGGAACATTTAGTGATCGTATAAAAGGCTTTTACAGAGATTAAAACAGTCAATGCTGGTAACTGCTGATAACAGAGGACAGGCATTGTAATGGCAGTGTAAGTCAGTGCTGTGATGAAACGCTCACCAATGCAGGGCTTAACATGCAGGAAGCACGCCTTGGTGAGATCCCCCAGCAGAGCGAAGGAGCTTTGCCTCACCTCGGGCATCGTGTCCTGCAACAAACAGACACTTTAGTGTTATCCTTAAAAATAAATAAAAGTTCCTGTACATTTTTGGTTGACTTTTCTCTCCGTTCATAAAAAGAGAGAAACTAGAAACCACCGTTCTGAACTATGGAAAATGTTAAAGTTACAGAGAAAACAATTATGGACTAAGTGGAAACTTTTGTGCCATATCTGGATCAGTGTTATCCTTAACCAAAAATGTACAGGAACTTTTATTTATTTTTGACTTTTTCTCCGTTCAACACTAGTCCCCAAAGCCTCGGCCAGCAGCAGGTCAAAGGCTTCTGGTTTACCTCTATTATTTCTCGAAACATTTTTTCATGTGTGGTCAGGAATGTTCTAAGATTATATAATTCTGGATCAGAAAATATAGGAACATTAGGTATCATCGTAAATCAATGAGCTGGGTGTTTCATCATGTCCAGATGCAAGAGACTATTTAGCAGATACTGAGCCAGCAAGATGACAGCTGCTCTCCTAGGTATCATATTTTTGTATTCAGTGTTTTTCTCGATTCATAAAAAGAGAAACGAGAAACCACTGGCTCATACCTGCATGCACTGGAAAAGCAGAGTCATGATGTTCGATCGGGACACCAGCTGTTCAACACTAGCCCCCAAACCCTCGGCCAGGCCGCTCAGCAGGTCCAAGGCCACGATCATAAAGTCCTTATCAGGAGCTTCATACTGGTCTGGATGCTGGTTGTACATCTGTTCAGAAACATTAGAAGTGTGGTTTGCACAGACTTAAAATGGCAGACACTCAACTGTCCCACTTAGCGAAACATAATATGTTGCATATCTGGATCAGAAAATATAGGAACAAAAAGTATCATCTTGTGTCAATGAGCTGGGTGTTTCATCATATCCAGGTACTGGGCTTGTTTTTGGTGAATGCAGCCATTTGTAAAACATTTTAATAGAATAAATTCACAACAATTTTGTGTGTGTTGCAGTCTCACCATAGCTTGAGCTAGAGTCTTCTGGACCAGTGTGACACAGCGCTGATAGACGGGCTCACAGTAAGGCAGGAAACCACTCTGCAGGGCGGTGGCTACTGAAGACAGACACTGGAAGAAATACAGTTATAAACAATGTTGTCTGGGGTTGTATGTCTATGTCAACCAACTTTATCAAAGGCATCATTTGTTAAACTCCTCGTTGGTCTGAAAGAGATGTTTATAAGTTTCTCATAGGAAAGCATTCCGTCTGTTCTGAACTATGGAAAATGTTAAAGTTACAGAGAAAGCAAAGAATGAAAAACAAAAGATTGGTTGTCCAACAACTAAGCTTTTATATCTGGATCAGAAAATATAGGAACAAAATGTATCATCGTTTGTCAATGAGCTGGGTGTTTCATCATATCCAGACAGTGGGCATTAGTTTTAAAGTGCATCCATTTGTATAAAAACAATACATATAATGAAAGATCACCAATTAGTCGTTAATCATGGGCCAGGAAAATGTGACTGATTTAACATAAGTCACCTATAGTGCATGTATCGATATAAAAAAATTTAAAAAAAACTTCTCACCTCTAGTAGTGGGAAGAGATCCTTGTCTTCGTCTTTCAGCTCGTTCCACTTGGCAATAAGGGGGGGCATCAGCTTCTGAATGTACTCCTGAAAATGAAAAAATAGTATGATGTGAGATTCCCTTTAGTGTGAAACGTATGTATGTTCCTGCATGTGGTGAAGAAGGCACGGTGCAGGTATAGATTTCGGGGGCACTTACCGGCTGGTTGAGGTGGTGACCCACTGAGTCTGCCAGGGTTCCTATGGCATCGTAGAGAATGAGGAGATTCTTGTGCTGGTACTTCCCAAAGGCAAACACCAGTGTGTCCAGGATGAAGCTCAGGTAGGGCACCAGCTCTGTGCACGCCTCCTCTTCCAGGGTGGCAAACGCACTGAGAGAAAAGAGAGGGGGAAAACATCAATATTTAATCTTAAAATATAGTTCTGAAAGAGATTTATACAAGTTTATCAGAGTAAAGTGTTCCATCCGTTCTTGACTATGGAAAATGTTCAAGCTACAAAGAAAACAATTTTGGACAAAGTGGAAAATGTTGCCATAACTGGATCAGAAAATATAGGAACAAAATGTATCATCTTGTGTCAATGAGCTGGGTTTATTATCATATCCATTTTTCAAATCACATCTCAAAACATATCTCTTCACACTCGCATATCCACCCTGATCATTATCCATCACACATCCTGTTTTATTCATGTTATTTTTTATATACCGCATTGTCTTGTTTATGTTTCTTATGCTGGTGTTATGTATTGTGTATCTTGTTGTGTGTTTGTACGGCGACCTTGAGAGCCTTGAAAGGCGCCTATATAAAATAAATGAATTATTAAAATGGGTAAATAATAATCATTGTTTATCAGTAAGCTGAGATTTGAAAAAGGGAATGGGAAGCTGCTTACCTGCAAGCGGCCTCCTGCACCCTCTTGTTGCTGTCCAGGATGCGTTTAAGAAGTTCTGTCATAAGGGGTTTGAGGTAGGAGTCGGGGGGCTGGGAGACCACCCAATGTGCATAGCGACTCAGGGTCCAGCACGCAATGGAGCGCACCAGGGCCTTTTTCTCACAAAGACACGCGATAAGGTGAGGGATCAGCTCTGGCAGGTAGGCCACCATGCCCTGCATGCAGCCTGAGGAATGAAGAGGGGCAACACATTAGATCATTTACGTTTTTAAAAAAGGACAATAAGCCGAGATTTTAACATTAGGGAAATGTATTAAATTAAAGATCCTGAGCCTCTGGTTTACCCTAGTTTATTTCTCGAAACATTTTTTCACGTATGGTCGGGAATTTTCTAAGATTATATAATTCTGGATCAGAAAAAATAGGAACATTAGGTATCATCGTAAATCAATGAGCTGGGTTTTTCATCACGTCCAGATGCAAGAGACTATTTAGCAGATACTGAGCCAGCAAGATAATAGCTGCTCTCCTAACTATCACATGTTTGTACTCTGTTACAAATGTTTGAACCTGTTAAGCCCCGAGCCTGTTTTCCAGGTCTCAGGCTCGAAAATTACATTCCCAGAACAAATGACCATAACTTCACTTCTAAAAAAGGGGTAAATTAATAATCTTTTTTCTCAAAGCAATGAGAAACCTGTGAGTTGGATGTAGAAGACTCCGAATCAATCTAGATTTTTTTAATTTTAAAGTAAATTCAGATTGAACATAGTAAAAAAAAATATTGTGTCCGTCCATTTCGTTTTAATGCCATTGAACACAACTTTTGATCAGAATAACAGCAAAAGGTGAGCATATCTCCGTTTTTTGCTACTTCGTGTGTTCTCTGTATTTGCTTCCCCTGTCGCGAGTTCTGATCGCTCAGTGATGATACGTATATTTCTAGAATCTGTGGAATCTCAGCTTGCTAGCAAAGCTTGTTTGTGCAGATCCGATAAGTATATCGATCGATTTATACCTAGAGTTATGTGCTAAGTGCGTCAGCATTTTGTTGCTCAGGGCTCATTTAGATGCTTCCTGTGAGACTTGTGTTTCGTCAAAAAAATGTCATATCATCAGTTAGCTTAGTTTCTTCCCGTTAAGCGAGTATGACACATTCATAGAGTATTACATTTTAAGATGCCCTGAGACAGTCTTGTGAAAAAAAAGCCCGTTAAGCAAGTCCTGTCAGTCTTACCCTCAGCTATGGCCCCCAACACCAGGATGCCAGACTCCTTGATGACCCAGTCGGGGTGGAAGAGGAGGCCTTTCAGCAGCGGCAGGAGGTGGGGCAGCAAGTCGTCACGGAACACGTTGGCGAGCACATCCAGCGCTGCAGCTGAACACTTTCCTACATTAAAAAATAAAAATTACATTATCATTCTTAAACGCCCCCCAAACTTTGTTTTACATGTGACTTGACATGAGAAGATTAAGGCAGGAACCCACTCTGCAGGGCGGTGGCTACTGAAGACAGACACTGGAAGAAACAAATATAAACAATGTTGTCTGGGGTTGCAAGTCCATTTCAACCAACTTTATCAATGGCATTGTTTGCTAAACTCCTTATTGGTCTGAAAGAGCATTCCACCTGTTCTGAACTATGGAACATTTTAAAGTTACAGAGAAAACAATTATGGACTAAGTGGAAACTTTTGTGCCATATCTGGATCAGAAAATATAGGAACAAAAAGTATCATCTTGTGTGTCAATGAGCTGGGTTTTTCATCATATCCAGACAGTGGGCATTAGTTTTAAAGTGCATCCATTTGTATAAAAACAATAAATAAAATCAACTTTTTTTATGTTGGAGTATGCTACAATTAGTTGGTTTTTCATAGAGATTTGCACAAACTATTTACTTTAATTGAAGTTAATTTACAACGTGCTGCAAGAGTGGAAAACTGTAGGAAAGGAAATGACATCAATTTAGACCTGAACTCGGACAAAATGTACAGTCAATCAGTAAATGGCCCCTTTTTCACAAGTTGGCACGTTTCAGGAAATATATTTCTCCGTCACTTACGCAGGTTCCAGTCAGACAGCGTGTCGTCGTCATCATCATCATCGTCATCATCGTCGTCATTGTCCTGCTCACCCTCTGCTCCTTCGTGCTGCAGGGTGACGGTGCGTGACTTGTGGAATCTGGGCTTGATATCCTGATCGCTATCCGGTACCGCCTCGTCCTCCTCCTCCACATCGCCCTGTGTAAAAAAACATCATGATTTATTTTAGCCACAAATGCTATACTTTATTTCAGCATAGATCATTTTTACAATGATCATGGAAAATTGAAATGGAGAAGAAATAAAACCGCGTAGCACAGAGCTTTGTCAAATCTGGATCAGAAGATATAGGAACATAGTGTATCATCGTGTGTCAATGAGCTGGGTGTTTCATCACATCCAGATGCAAGAAGGACTCAAAAGTCCAACTCTATGGTGGGGTAGCTCAGCAATCATCCAAACACACTATAGGGTCATAAGATAGTATATGAGCATTGTGTAAAACAATAAAAAGAGAGCTTACCTTTAATAGTATGATGTCTATCTCTGAATACTTCATCCCATTGACCAGGATAGGCGTCAGTCTATATCAAGAGGAGAAAAGATATTACGTGCTTGGTTAAAACATCCGAGAAATCTCATGTACAAGTTTAAGAAGTGGCTAAATATACTTTTATTTAATAGTTTTTTTAACTGAGTCTACAGTAAAACAGAGAAACTAGGGATGGGCTGTTTAGAATGGAACACAATACCAAAAAAAAGAAAACACAATCAGGTGATTGTTATGAATTCAAATTTTTATAATCATGAAAATAATTGCCTTTCATTTTAGTGACATTATGAGTTAGGATGACGGATCTGGATCAGAAAATATAGGAACATAAAGGTATCATTGTAAATCAATGAGCTGGGTGTTTCATCATGTCCAGATGCAAGACTTACTTATGCCATGTTAACAGGAAATGTTGCCTCGAGTCACTTTAAGGATAATATTCCAGAGGAATGGTGACATGAAAGGTTGTTATCGTTTCAAGCCTTCACAGAACACACACGACATCAACAGTAGTTCTACTCACTGCGCCAGGTGTCCGGACAGACTCTCCTTACAGATGGGCTGCTCAGCCAAAGTCAGCCAGAACTCGCAGGCCTCCAGAGCCACGTTCTCGTCGGGGTCCTGGGTTCTCTGCAGCATGTACTGCAGGGGGTGAGAGAAATATGCATTTCAGATCGGAAAGTGTACTATTGGGTAACATCCTAGAACAAAGCCCTGGCAGATCTGGATCAGAAAATATAGGAACATAAAGGTATCATTGTAAATCAATGAGCTGGGTGTTTCATCATGTCCAGATATAAGACTGACTTATGCCATGTTAACAGGAAATGTTGCCTCGAGTCACTTTGCGAGCTTGAACGTAGGATCATTTCTGCTTATCATATTCCATTGAGACACTTTGCTTCAATTTAACTTCTCAGCAGCTTAACATATGCCAATGTCTGCTGGTGCAAAATGCAAATGTGTGTCCTTGCATTGACTTTATATGTAATAGAGCAGCAAAAAACGATTCGCTTTGTGTTTTTGGGAACATACCATTAAAGACATTTTAAATGGAGGTACACAGTTTATTGAGGAAATGTCCAACGCTTACCTGGATGATGCTGTGCATGTGTGGGATGAGGCGGTCGACGCGGACCTCCAGTAACATGACGAGGGCTCGGCACACGTTCTTTCGAACCTCAGAGTCCTCATCTGCTGCCAGCGCAAAAAGACTCTGTTTTTTGGGAGGGGGAAATAACACGTTGGGATGAATACAAGAAAATGTTTAACAACGAGGCAAACTCTACTTTCTCTGGACTGCTACTCAAACGCAGCAATACAGTCAGATCAAGCTTCAGCTATGCATAGAGCCTTAGCAAATCTGGATCAGAAAATATAGGAACATTAGGTATCATTGTATATCAATGAGCTGGGTGTTTCATCATGTCCAGATGCGATACAAACTTAAAAGTACAACTGCAAGTTTAAATGTAAAAAGCCTGTTATGGAAAGGCTCTCCCAGGTGAAAGATTACTCCCATTGCCATCCCAGTCCTGTATGTATTTGTCATACAGTGAAACTGAAATGTTTGACAGTAAACCTTCGTAACACTCAGCGTACCTCTATGAATGTGTCGATGTTGTCCATTAGGGCCTGGGCTCTGCCGATGATGAACTGGTTCACACAGGCGATGGCATGAGACCTGCAGGGACATTAATAAAAAGTTGAGTCACTCAGAGGGATGGATTAGTGATAGTTTGGCAGAATGCATAATGTGACAGCTCAACAACCTATGGCAAAAGCAACATTAGGATTGGTTTGAACTTGTATGAATGTGTTTAAAAACACCTCATCTTGCATAGGGCATGTTTTAGTGTGAGCACAAAATTATTAATTTGTGCTTTTGAAAATAAAGAGTTAGATCACAACAATGCGGCACAAAAAAAATGTTGAGTCGGCAATTAACTATTAAGTTGCAACTCAGTGTGATTTCTAAAGTGGTAAAAGGGTGATATCTGGATCAGACAGTATGAATACGAACACCTTCATTGTAAGTCAGACGTTATATTGTGCATCACATCCAGAAAATAATGACAAACACCAATCAGAGTGAGCCTCTTTCCCTCCTGTACCTAATCTTGGGGCTGCAGTGCTTGAAGAACTGGAGGAATTTGGGGATCATAATGTTGAGAGGTCTGTTCAGAGCGTCGCTGTCGAGCAGCTCCGAAGAGTCCTCGCAGATCTTCTGCAGTGCTCCAAACGAGCCCTGAGACACGGACATACACAGAGAGGCTGTCAAATCAAACGCAAACATACAGGGACACAGAGGAGAGAGTGAGACTGCATCATAGTATACAACCAAAGCACTGAACACAATTCATTTAAGTCACAAATGCTAAACTTTGTCTCAGTCAGTTATTTTTCACAATGGGAATTTATAAATGTCTCACAGACTTAAAGGTGGGGTTGGTAAGTTTGAGAAACCGGCTCGAGATACACTTTGTTATATTCCATGGAATGCTCTTAACATCCCGATAGA